CAAGAGGGAGGCTGGAGGGAGGAGGGAAGAAGAAGGTACGGATGGAGAGGAGGGAGGAGACAGGCAGACCGACCCGCAGACGGATACAAGGAAATCAAAGAGAAGCATCGGCACAGGGTAACAACTCACCTCGGCCCATGCACGGTGGCGGGGTGGGCCGAAGGCCAGCAGACACGCGGAAAGGGGTGTGCAGTGGAGCGCTCCATACTCCGAGTGGTCGGGTTTGGAGGGACTCTGAGGTCTGCGGGCTTTTCAAGAGTCCCAGGGAAGGGTAGGAAGCTCTGGATGAAGAGTTCTGGAGGGGGGGCGAGGAGCTTATGAATGCTCCGGCGCGGGTCCTGGGGGGGCCCAAGGAGGGAGAACAGAAGAACAAACACCGGCATAGAGGTAACTTTCGGAGGTCCGCGCGGATTTCCGCGGATCGCCCCCCCCTTGCCCGCCGCCCCCCGGCGGCGACTCTGGCGCCGCCCCCGGCGCGCTTCCCGCGCGGGAGGGGGGGGCCGACCCTGGAGATCCGCGCGGAGCTGCGAGACCTCTGGCGCGTGCCTTTCTCTTCGCGCGCTCTGCGAGGAAGCCGACGGGCCCAGGCCGAGAGCCCGCAACCTCGGGGGTGAACCACAACCGCGCGGGCGAGGGACAGGCAGAGCAGCGGCTCCGACGAAGCGCCGAGCGGGTCCGCCCGACGCCGAATTCAGAGGCGGCGACAGGGGCGACTAGCCCAGGGGAGAGCAATACATGCATCCAGGGGCGACGATGACCTATGTCTTCGACGAGGCTCCCGGGCGAATACACGTAATGCCCGCCACTGGGCTGTTCGCCCTTCTCGTCGCCGCCGATGAATGGCTTCGATGGGCGGCGCGACTTGCGGGGCGCCGCCTGGCTGCTGCCAGCGTGCGGCGCGGTGCGCCAGGCGCGGCGCCTCGCGGTCGCTGCGCCGCCCTGCACTGCACGGACCCGCCGGCCCTCGACGGCAGCCGCTCCGGGCCGGCCTCCGCGCACGGGTGCGCAGCCAAGGGGCCCGCGGCAGCAGGCGCGCTCGAGCAGCAGCTGGAGCTCCGGCGCTCGCACGCTGGCACAGAAGCGCGCCAGCATAAGTCGGGCATGTCTCCCTTCAGGGGGATTTTCCCAGGGAGAAGTATGCAAAAATAGTCAAAAAGATTCAAGCACTGTCAAAAAATATGAAGAAAATCGTCCCCAGACTATTTTTTGACTATTTTTGAATATTCCTCCTGTAGAGGGACAGGCCACAGGCCCGACTTAACGCCAGCACCAGCCTCGTCGCCGCGGAGCACCTCCTCGCTCAACCCGTCGGGCGCATCCTGAGCGGACCAGGCAGTCGACCCTCCGCAGCTGCCCTGGAGCGGGCGCGACTCAGCGCGGCGAGCGGGCGCGCAGCCAGGGGCCCGCGCCGGCGGCGTGCTGAAACAGCAAGAGGAGCTCCTGCGCCTGCGCGCCAGCGCAGAAGCGCGCCAGGTCTGCGTCGCCGCCGCGGAGCACCTCCTCGCACAACCCGTTGAACGCGGCGGGGTCCCAATGGGGCCCCATGCCCTCCAGCGCGCGGCGGGCCGTCGGGGCCGCGTTGGCGAGCCTCTCGGCGGCCCCGCGCAACGCGGGAAAGAGCACGTGGCCCCCGCCGCGGAAGGCCCTGCGCAGCCAGAAGCCGCTGTTGTTGAAGCCCGTGCCGAACTCCCCGAGGTTGTTGCCCTCCATCCTGTGCACGATGACGTGGCAGTAGGCCGCCTCCGCCTCCACGCTGCTGCCAGGCCTCGGCGGGCCGCCAAAGTCTGTGGGCGCCGGCCACGACAGGGGCGTCACCAAGTTGTGCGCCTCGTCGATCCCTCCGAGCATCAGGCACAGCGCGGCAGCACCGACCGCCGAGCGATCCTCGCTCAGTCCGCCGGCCAGCAGCTCGTGCAGCAGCGGACCGGCCCCGCGCAGCCCCAGCGCTCGCAGCGGGGAGCGCCCGGGGCTGCGGGCGTACTCCATCGCCTGGCTGCGCACGGGCACGCCCTCGCGGGCGGCGCGCTCGAGGACGGCTGCCACGGCAGACCCGCTGCGCGGGCCGCCCGACGGCGAGGCCCTCCTCGCCGCCCCTCGCTCCCGCCGCGCCGCGGCCACCGCGCGGGCCGCCACCGCGCCGAGGGCCGTCGCCGCGAGCGGCGCCGGGGCCCCGGGGAGGGGCCGCTGCCGCGGGCAGGCCGCGCGCCACGGGCACCGCCGCTGCGCGCGCGGGGCTCCCTGGGCGGGAGGGCCCGGGCGGTGAGCGGCGAGCATCTGCCGCCGAGGGGGGGGGGGGCTCCTCGTCAGAGTCAGCACCGGCAGGGCCAAGCTGTGGGCACTGCGAGGAGGGGCCTGGCCGAGCCGATGCGCGGATGTTCCGCGCGAAGCGAGAGCGACGCGGGAGGCGCTTGCCCCAGCGGGAAAGGGCGAGGCGGTGATGCATCCAGCTCCGCCGCCTGGGGGATCCACGTCGGGGACCCCAGCAGGCGGTGCATATGGATAACGGATATGGCCCGAAGATGCCCCCATCCAACGCATGCCGAGGGAGCTCCACGATGAGCGTCAAGACCTGACGGCATGCAAGACGGGGGCGGCCGCAAATCGGTGCAGATGAATGCCAGGCAACGAGGTCGCGAAGAGGTGCACTTCACGCCGTTCCCCCGACAGGTCTGCCGCGCTGGATCGCCAACTTCCATGCCAAACGCTACGCTGGCGGCGGCCAACTTTCCCTCGCCCCCCTCGTGGAACGGTGCATTTTCGTTTTATCTCGTCCGAGTCGGCCTCCTCCCCGGGATCGAAGCGAGAGTCGGCTTCCGCCGCTTTCACGCCCTGCTCCTGCCGCTGCATGTCCTGGTACTTCGACTGGCGCAGCTGTTAGTACGTCTGCTCCTCCCTCTCTTCCCCCTGCTCCTCCTCCTCCACAGTTGCACAATATGAATACTACTCTCCTCTCTCCTCTGACTCTGCCCGAAGAGTGCCCCATGCTCTCCGCGCATTGTCTTTTACACACAGGATTGCGTTAGTTGGCTTTCCCGATGTGATGCTTCAATCTGGTCGTTCCTGGTTCTTCCAAAATGGTGCTGCCGCTGCAGCGCCGCCCTCATTCCAGCGCTTCGGTCCTTCACAACCGTGCTCCCGCTGCAGCGCTGGCCTCGCTCTGGCACCTCCAGACGGCACCTGGCACTCGAGAGCGCCCACACATCGGGCAGGCACGGCTGAGGGGACCATGGAGCCGGCACTCTGGACAGGCCCTGTCCTCTCGTAGACGTGCCACTTACCCTCCAAGTCAACCGGCGCCATGCCACGGCTTGCAATGCGATGCTGTGTTGCGCACCGCGGTGCGATGCCATGCTTTGAATAGCCATGCTTTGTGATGCTATGCTTCACTACGCACTGCCACACCATGCTATGACATGCTGTGCTCTGCCGTGCTCTTCTACGCCATGCTTTTCATCTATTGCGTACCCTCTTGGGATCACTGATCTGGTCGACATAAGACCGTGCGAATAGGTAGGAGATCTACGCCATGGTAAGGGATGGGAGGAAGGGGCAGGACGTCAGATGTGACGGTAGCGCACCTAGCTTGTCCTCCTCCCCCTCCTCCTCCCCCTCCTCCTCCTGCTCCTGCTCCTGCTCCCTCCTCATCCTCCCTCCCCTCAACAGTCGCCCTTCCTCCACGCGATTCCTCCTCCCCGCCCCCCCTGGAAATTAGCTGTTGTGTCGCCTCTCCTTCCCCCAGCAACCCATCTTTCGCACGGATTTCTCGTGCCGTGACTCGTTTTTCGTCGGCTTCCAGGGCTCGAAGTGGACCTCCAGGAGGCCGAAACTGGAGACAGCCCCTGGTGGCGCGGCAGCTGGGGGGACGAAAAGATGCCAATGCACAGCCGTCACCCTAGCCCTCTGCAAGAGCACCTTTCGACAGGGATCCAGCCGTGGCGATGAGGCCACCCCCCCAGCAGGCCCAAGAGGGCGAGGACTAACCAGCCTCGAACGTATCCCTATCCCTAAGATTGACACGCCAAAAGGCGATGATAATCTTAGGGATTCGCCCTCAAAGAATAAGGGAATCCCTGATATTGGCAACGTGATGAGGAGGTGCCCAGCATAGGGATAGGGGTATGTTCCAGGCTGGTAAAGGACGAGGGAGAGTGGCATCGGTCTCAGACCTCCGACAGCGCGCTTTTGTAAGTACGGCCTCCCCAGAAGCCCCGACCGTTTCCCCGGGGCGGGCTCTTCGTCCCGAGTCCCGCTTTGACGGCCCCTCTGGCCCGGCAACGGCCCCCAGTGGCCGGAAGTCGGCCAGAGCCCTCCGTTGTGTTTTCTGTGTGTTCGCGGCGCGAGGGGTTTTCCTGGCGGTATGCTTTTGGGAGGCTTGGAAGATTGCACAAACACCGACAAAGGGGGGCGCCTCCATCGGAGAAAAGTGATCCTAGCTTTAGGCGGTGGTGGCATGACGTCCGTCACAAAAAAAAAGACCTCAGATGACAACCATCACCGCCATCGGGGTCGTGTTCCCTCGGTGGGGGCAGACATCGGTATTGTTGGTGCCAACTTCCAGGCCTCGAGCTTTCTCTGCCCCCAAAGATCATTGGACATCACATGATTTCGGCTGCGATCGGTAGCGTGCGATCGACACCCCGAATCGATCGCAAACGATCGCGACGGATTCTGGACCAAATCAGCCGCGACCGATACTGGATGTTGAAGCAACACCAGTAGCGACCGATCTCGTCGGTTAAGGCTGGGAAATAAATTCCAGTATCCAGCTCTGAGATCCGATGTAGTGTTTTTTTCCCTACGGGGTCCCCGGAAGTCTCGACCCATTCCCCAGGACCGATTTTTCATCCTGAGTCGTTTTTTGACGGTCCCGAGGCCCGGCGAGGGCCCCTAAGGGCCGAACTTTGCGAAAAACCTCCGTCTTGATTTTGTCCAAGACGTTGGATGTCTGGGAATGATCAGGGCCTGCAAGGGCAGGAGGCTCCCAAGGGGGTCGCGCCCGCCTCCGCGCTCTTCTGCTGCAGCTCCCTCGCGCCCGGGGCGGCGCCCGGCGTCAACGACGGCGCCGGGGCGCCGGGGGAGCGGCCAGAGCTGTGGGAGTCCCGCCGTGCGCTGCTGGAGGCGGCCTGGCACGGTCGTCGTCGTCGTCGGCGGCGTCATCGCGGTTGCCGTCGTTGAAGGAGGAAGTAGAGGACGAGGAGGAGGAGGAGGAGGAGGAGGAGGAGGACGAGGAGGAGGAGGAGGAAGAGGGGGAGGAGGAAGAGGAGGAGGAGGAGGAGGAGGCGAAGGGGGAGGAGAAGGAGGACGAGGAGGAGGAGGAAAGGAGCAGAAGGAGGAGGAGGAAGAGGATTCCTCCTCCTCCCTCCTCCTCCCTCCCTTGATATCGATTCCTCCTGTTGCTCCTCCTCGCGTAGTTCCCCCCGTTGTTTTCCCTCCGGGAAACCCCACTCTGCGGGCGCAAGCGGCGCGCATAGTCATCGTCTTCTGGCGGCATCGTCATGGTTGCCGTCGTTGAGGAAGAAAGGGAGGAGGGGGAAAAAGGGGGGAAGACGGGTAGCCCCTCGTCACCTCTCGGTAGCTTCACGGCAGAAATCGCGCGCATGGCGCGCGGGGATGCGTTACCGATGGAAGATCGGAACTTACTGGTACAGGCGGCGAAGGAGGATGGAGGATGATAATGAGGAGAAGGCGGAAGAGGACGAGGATGAGGACGAAGACGAGGAGGAGAAGGAGGGGGAGGAGGAGGAGGAGGAGGAGGAACAGGAAGAGGAGGAGGACAAGGAAGACGAGGAGTGACAGTACCTTGGGGTCGACGCGTGTCTCCTATTCGCCCGACAGCGAGCGATACAGGCGACATTTCGCGCAAATGTACGGCATGAGGTGCACTGGAGGCGGACGCTGACTCGTCGGCAGTCGATGAGGCAGCTGACTTCAGTCTGCTGGACATGTGGAAAGCGAGCGTCACGCCTTGGACCGTCCGCTGCAACGAAAAGTCGCTGGCGGGGCCAGGCGGATACGCTGCAGCAGCGCCAAGGGCCCTCGTCGTGACAATGGATTGAAAGGGGGGGCGAAGCAGGGGACCAGGGGAGGCCCTGGAGGACGAGGCAGGAGAGGTCGCGAAAAACGAGCCTGGAGCCTGCGCACAACCGAACACGCAGTGCCTCGGGGCGAGCACGTGCATGCAGGCGGAGGTCGTCCAGCCACCGCCCGGGATTTTGAATGTAGCCCAGCATGGCCCAGCGCCAGCTGGGGCGAACAGTTTGGAGCTCCTGGGAGAGGACGGACCAGCGCCTGGAAAGCTCGTCGGGCCGCCCGCCCCGCCCCTGCCAAATGATACCACGCGCTCGCATTCGATTACACTTTTCAAACAGAAGAAAACGTCCACGCGCGCGCGCCGCCGCCGAGCGCACCCAGGACATGGCCAAACAAATCGACAACTATGTTAAACCACTGGCTCAGCGAAAACGCAGAAAACGACAAACCAAGACATGGGCGTGCGCACTCGCTGAAACCTGAAGGACGCCATAGTGCTTAGCTGTTCTGACCAATCAAGCCGCGCGCATGTCGGAAACGTTCAACCACCACCGCTCGCCCACGAACGCTGTCAAACCATACCGCTCGGGCCACACGTGCTGCGCGCGCACGTCGAGATCATGGCACAATGGCTTGACTTCTCCTGGCGCGCATGTTCTCATTACCATTACCATCAGCATCATCGTCATCCTCATCATCATCAGCATCGTCATCAACATCATCAGCAGCATTATAATCATGATCAGCACAATCATCGCCATTCCAATCGCTATCCTCGTCGCCAGCGTCATCAATGATATCGCCACAATGGTCAGCATCACCGGCATCATCATAACATTCACCAAAGTCGGGATCATAGTCGCCGCCGTAATCGCCGTTGTCAAAGTCGCCGCCTTTGTCGATGACATCATGATATCGTGCCCGCTGGGGTCACCAACCTGGACTGATGTGCCCGCGCGCCAGCGCGGCCTTTGACGCGTGCTGGGAAGCTCCCATCGGCAAGCGTCAGCGGAGCCGCACCGTTTGTACCAAACCAGCTGGCTGACCCGCGCCTGAGCAGGTGCGCGCCAGCGCGGCCCATGATATCACGCTCGCTCGGGTCACCGACCCAGACCGAAGTGCCCGCGCGCCAGCGCGGTGTTTGAGACGCGCTTGTAAGTTCCCATAGGTCGTCGCCGTCGCGGCCGCATCAGTTGTGACAAATCAGCTGGCCGATCTGCGCTTGAGCGGGCGCGCGCCAAGGCGGCCGCAACGATGCGCCAGCAAGCTCGAATCGGCGCCCACAATCGCAACCAAACCAGTTGTGCGAAACAAATGGCGGGTAGGAGGGTGTGATGATTGCGCGAGCAGTGGAGTTGACGACAGCCCTTTCGACTGTTGAATTGCACCATCTAGCTTTCACCACATAGCTTGCACCACGTGTCTCCATCACACAGCTTGCACTAAATTGCTTGAACGGCGCAGCTTGCAGCACGCAGATTGCACCACGTAGATTGCACCGCATAGCTTGCACAACATAGTTTACACAACAGAGCTGACACCTCATTGTTGCATCACATAACATTGCACATCCAGTGCTATAACTGACTGTGTGGGGTCCATGCTGGCTAATATTGATGCTCTTTACTTGGTTGAGTGTGAGGCGGGAGTCGCCTGGGGATGTTCAGGGCGGGGCGTCCAGCTTGCAAAGGTCCACTGCAATCGAGGGTGATGGCTGGGATCTCAAGAGAGCTTTGGTACAATGCTGAAGCGCACTTGGAGATTCTTGGAGCTCAGTTGGGCTAGACTAAAGCGGATTGGAGGCATTGCGGGCGTCATGGAGCGACTTCGGACGATCTTGCAGAGCTCGTCGGAGCGGAGAAAGTCATAGCAAACATCTGCGTGCATGACAGGCCACCGCGCTTGCAGCGATGTGTGTGGCACCTGCTTTCTGCAATCATGAACCCGCTCCCTGTCGGAGCATACTCTGTCCTCCGGCGCACAGAGCTTGACGTGGGATCACCTTTTGACAAGGTCCACGTGCTGTCTGCCTTCCCGCCAGGAGGTGGTGCCAAGCCCAGGGCCTCGCGTAGGAACACCCGCGGCACCTGGCCTCCCCCGGCGCCCCCCGCCCCTCCCCACGCGCCCCCGCCGCCCCCAGGCGCCCGCCACAGCGCAGCGGCAGATCCCCACAGCAAAGCAGCGCTGGAGTCCAGAACTGTGTAGCGGGCGTGCTGGGAGCTGTACGTAACCTGGTCTTGGAAGCGAGGCTTCTGATTCTGCGCGCGCATAATTAGTTCCTCACCGCCGTCCTGATTCATCCTCTCTGTCTGCCACTGCTGAAGACCCCGAGACATCCTGCCCCAAGGCAGCGCTTGCTCTTGGCAGCGCGGGGGGCCTCTTGGCGGCGTGTGCTCATCACTGGCAGGAGGAGGAGGAGGAGGAGGAGGAGCACATTGATAACGAATCAGAGAAAGCCATGCAAATCTACGAGGATTACGAATGGAAACGTAAGTCGGATGAGACTCACCGGCTTGATGATAGGGAGCGAGGGAGAGAGAGGGAGAGAGGGAGAGAGAGAGAGAGAGACATCTATACACATAACACACAAGTGTGTGCGCGTGTGTGATACGTAAAAGGGGGAACAGTGTTAAGCAAAAGGGGGGCGAACGAAAGAAACGGAAGAGGACGGAGAGGAAACGGAAGCGAACGTGACGGAAGACCAGGAGAAAGACGAGGACAAGGACGCAGAGACACACAACAGCAGCAGCAGCATAAGCATCGTCTCAGAGAGCGGATCCTGGGGTCAAACGTTGACCTCGGGACTCTGAACCCTGGACGCGTCCCGGGATACGTTTTGGCCAGAATTTCCAAGGGGAGTCCAGCCGCTGCCACGAGAAGCCTGCCACAGGCCACAAAAACATGTCAACGGCTGCGAACATCGATCCTCGTTCTCAGACCAGCGACGTCGCGTTTCTGCTCACAGTGGAGCCCCAGATGTCTCTCCCCCTCCCCTGGGACTGGCCACCTACTTCTCCCGAGTCGTTTTGCTGACAGCCATGGGGCCCGTCATATGTCATGGGCCCCCGTCAGCCGAACGCTGCCCAGAGCACTCCGTCGTGACTCTCTCACGGCGCGGGGGGGTCTGGGATCCTCGCACCTCGGATGCCTTGGCGAGGGCAAGCGATCAAGGGAGACGAACTCAGGGGGGGGGACATCGAGCTGGAGACAGCGGTACGTCGTCGAATAGACCGACGATGGCGTGCCCCAGAGAGCGAACCCGCACGCTCCGGGGCTTGGGTGGGGCTTTGGGGCCCCTGGCGGCGATGAGTCGTAAACTGGAGGTCAATGCATCCCCGCCCCAAGCCTGTCCCTGAAGTGGCCCTGGGACACACGAGTGAATAGATACAAATAACCCGATTCCCCATATGTTTCAAAGTGTTTGTCTTCCCCCCACTTCCCATATTTTCCCATATCTTCTGGGGAATCGACGATTAGTGCTTGAGGCCCCGCCCGCCCGCGCCCTGTCCCCCCAATTAGTGCTTTGCGCGCCCCGCCTAGCTCTTAACCGGAAGAGGCCCGCTCTCGACCCGCAGACCAAAAAAAAGTGTCTGTGTGTTTTTTCCCCTCTTGAGTCCCCCCCCCTCCTGCGTTGCCCCTGGCTTTCGGGCCTCTCCTCGCCCCTCCGGCGGCCGCGGAGGACGACCGACCCGGGCAGCCCGCTGAGGGCCCCCTTTCGGCGGGGCGCAGCCGCGGAAGGCAGCGCGAGGCTCCCGAGGCCGACGAGGCCGAAGAGAAAAAAAAGTTGGCGGCGCGCAGAGGGGGGTAGGGGGAGGGGGGAAGTCTTCTTAGAAGCACCCCCTGCTTCTTAGGAGGCGCGGGCCTTCTCTGTAGACGTAAGGCCGCGGCCTTCTAAGAAGCGGGGTGCTTCTGAGAAGCCTTCCCCCCTCCCCCCCTACCCCCCTCTCTGCGCGCCCAAAGAAGGCGTGAGAGGCCTCGCGCCTCGAAGCGCGGCGACGGCCTCGAACCCGAGCGAGGGGGGGCCTGGGAGCCTCGGGCCTCGGGGGTCTTAATTAGGGTCGGGGAGGGCGGGCAGCGGCGGCCCGAGCCGCGCAAAGGGCGCCAGGGGCGGCCCGAGGGCGGCGGCCTCGAAGGCGGTCACGAAGAGCAGGCCTGGCCGCGCCGCCGCCCGGCGCAGGCGTCGGGGCGGCGCGCGAGGGGAGGCCCGTGCGCGCGGGGCGTGGCGGCGTGCACGGAGGGGGGCAGCGCGACCCTGACCTTCCAGGAGGGCTAAAAAATAGCACGCGACTTAAAAACCTGTCCCAGAGCTATTATATGTCTTGGTTTTAGGCAGTTTCGTTTCGTTTCTTAGGTTTTTAGGCCTCCCGTTCTAAAAAATAGCTCTCTGGAAGATCAGGGGAGGGGGGGGGGCGGGCCACCTCGGCGAGCGGAGGAGCCTCCACGAGGGCAAGGGGGGCCTTGTTGTGTCAGGGCCTCTCCCGGCTTCTGGGAGAGGCCTGCCGAGAAGCTTCCGGGCCCAGCGGAGGAGGCCCCGGCCTTCTCAGCTGGGCCCCCCGCCCCGCGGTCTGCGCGGGCCACCGCTCTCGCGACAACACATCTTCGGGGATGGACAGACCCCCCTTTAGTAAAACGTGGTTTAGTGAAAACGACCTAAGGCCCAAACCTGGCGGGCGCAAGTCTGGAAAATAACGGCCACGGCGCCATCTCGAGAACCGAAAACGGACAATTCACTAATTGACGTGTCACTGTTGGGGGTTCTGTCCACCCCCGACACATTTGCGCGCGCCGCCAGGGGAAACCATAGCTCCGGCGGGCTGGGTTTTGTTTCATCCCGTCGTTTGTCAATCGCGTCGGCTTCCGCGGGGGCGGGCCCTCGAGAGCTGGTCATGGGACGCAAGACGTGCCTCCAGGGACAAGGCGAGGGGGGGCGCACGATGAAGCCGACGGGCGGAGACTGGTGGAGGAGGGGGAGGAGAGGGCCCAGGCTGGCTACGAGGACAACGGCGACGAGGTCAGGGCAAGACCCCGCGGAGCCAGCCCCAGGTGAACGATACGAGCTTGGATCGGCCGTCTTGCGGAATGCGACTTCGGCGTTGCCACCTGATCGCCCGGCAACCTCACGGCAGGGGGCGGGACAAGCTAGGTGCGCTCGCGTCATATCTGCCGCCCTACCCCTCCCTCCCATCCCTTACCATAGCGTAGATCTCTTCTCTATTCGCACAGTCGGATGTCGTAGCAGGGCATAGCATTACATGGCATACCATGGTGTTGAAGATTAACGCGCAGGCTGACATAGCATGGCGTGGCGACGCCCCAAAGTGGGGGGGGGCTTCTGCGGCCCTGAAAACCAACGAATCGGCACCCAATGTGGAATCACTTCTGATGGTTGCTTCGGGGGGGCACTTCCTAGATTTTGGGGCCTATCTGGCAGGACCGAAAACCATGCCGTGGCATGGCGCTGGAAATAATGACGCCAACGCTGCAGCGAGAGCTCAATTCGGAACGAGCGGAAGCGCGGAAATGATGCCAGCGCTGCAGCGGGAGAGGATTCGGAACGAGAGGTAGCCCGAAAATGAAGCCAGCGCTCCGGCGAGAGCAGCACTAAAAAAACCTAGCGAAAACACGTTACCCAGGAATGCTGTGTAAAAAAACAGTACGCGGAGGGGGGGGGGGCGATTATTTCCCGGACGTCACCAGGGGAGAAAGGAGAGTAGTACGATTCAGATTGTGTAATTGTAGAGGGAGGGAGGGGGGAGGGAGGGAGGGAGGGAGGCAGGAGTGAGGCTCTGCGATGAGCCGTTCGGGGAGCGACCCCATGGAGCGTGCAAAGGGGAGTGGGGGCAGACGAGGCCCGACCACAGCTCGAGGCCCCTCTGGTGCGAAGACGAGGGTCGGGGCCAGGAACTGGGCCCCGGGCCCTGACCCCGCCGGCCCCGCCGAGAACGGGAAGCCGCCCGCTGGCACTGCCCGGAGCTCTCGAATCGGACGCGCTTCGACGCGGCGCGGGCCTGGCCCTCACCAGGCCGGGGCGGAGGAGGCGGAGGAGGATAAGGGGCCACATGCGAACACTACCCCTACCCTCCATGGTTTCTGAGTGGGAGGGTGGGGTTCACTTCGACCGGAGCTCCCGAGCGAAGTGAACCCCACCCTCCCCCTCAGAAATCGTGGGAGGAGGGGTATAGGGTTCGCATTGGTCCCCTAGAGGAGCGAGCGCCAGCGCGAGGAGACGGCAGCGCAGCCAGCGAGCGAAGGGCGCGCCGACCGGGCGACCTCTGGAGCGCGGAGCGGACACAGAACCCTCGGTGGGCGGCCTGCCTCCAGCGCCGGCGGGGGGGAGACGGGAAGATGGCGGGAGGGAGGGAGGGAGAGGGAGGGTGGAGATGGAATGAGCGCGGCTTCTCAATCCTGCTAGTCCGTCGCACCCAGGGACACTGGATCCGTGGAAGAAGTGTCTCCTCCTCCTCCTCCTCCTCCTCCTCCTCCTCCTCCTCCTCCTCCTCCTCCTCCTCCTGCTCCGCCATCTCCTCCTCCACCTCCTCCTCCTCCTCCTCCTCCGTCTCCTCCTCTGCCTCCCCCAGCCTCCTCTCCTCCTCCTCCTCCTCCTCCTCCTCCTCCTCCTCCTCCTCCTCCTCCTCCTCCTCCTCCTCCTCCTCCTCCTCCTCCTCCTCCTCCTCCTCCTCCTCCTCTCTCTCCTCCTCCAGCCTCCTCCTCCTCCTCCGTCTCCTCCTCTGCCATCCCCCAGCCTCCTCTCCTCCTCTCCCTCCTCCTCCTCCTCCTCCTCCTCCTCCTCTCCTCCTCCTCCTCCTCCTCCTCCTCCTCCTCCTCCTCCTCCTCCTCCTCCTCCTCCTCCTCCCCCTCCTCCTCCTCCTCCTCCTCCCTCCTCCTCCTCCTCCTCCTCCTCCTCCTCCTCCTCCTCCTCCTCCTCCTCTCCTCTCCTCCTCCTCCTCCTCCTCCTCCTCCTCCTCCTCCTCCTCCTCCTCCTCCTCCTCCTCCTAGACTCTCCTCCCTCCTCCTCCCCTCCTCCCTCCTCCTCCTCCTCCTCCTCCTCCTCCTCCTCCTCCCCTCCTCCCCTCCTCCTCCTCCTCCTCCTCCCTCCTCGTCCTCCTCCTCCTCCTCCTCCTCCCTCCTCCTCCTCCTCCTCCTGACCTCCTCTTCCCTTCCTTCTCCTCTTCTTCGTCGCTCCTGCTCCGCACGTCGTCCTCCTCCTTCTGCTCCTCCTCCTCCTCCTCCTCCTCCTGCTCCCCCCCTCCTCCTCCTCCTCCTCCTCCTCCTCCTCCTCCTCCTCCTCCTCCTCCTCCTCCTCCTCCTCCCTCCTCCTCCTCCTCTCCTCCTCCTCCTCCTCCCTCCTCCTCCTCCTCTCTCCTCCTCCTCCTCCTCCCTCCTCCTCCCTCCTCTGACCTCCTCTTCCCTCCTCCTCTTCTTCGTCGCTCCTGCTCCGCACCGTCCTCCTCCTTCTGTTTCCTCCTCCTCCTCCTCCTTCCTCCTCCTCCTCCTCCTCCTCCTCCTCCTCCTCCTCCTCCTCCTCCTCCTGCGTCAGCCCAACGGCCAGAGGCGTGCTAGGATTTCTGGTAACTCGTTTAGAAAGTTCTAATTGGCACGTGCGGGGCCGCCCCTGGGGATCCCCGGATCAAAAGTACCCCGGCTGATCCCCGGCGAACCTTTACTCGGAGATGCTTTTCCTCCTGGGTGCAGCCTCTCAGGCCCCCCAGAGAGCGCAGAGAGAGCCTCAAGAGGCCCCCAAGGTGGTCCAAGACGGCTCCGAGTCACCGAACGACCAGTCCAAGACCCCAAGATAGCCTCCAGACGGCCCAAGCTGCCTGCAAGACGCCCGAAGCATCCTCCAATTGACCTCCCCGGAGGGCCCCCAGAGGCACAAGTCAGTGATTTTCCACACGTGTTTGAAGGATTTTGGCGTTCTCGTCGTTTCGACTTACCGACGCTGCAAGACGGCCCAAGAGGCCGCCAAGATCGCCCCAACACGGCCCAAAAAGCTTCCAAGAGCGCCCCAAAACGGCCCCGGAAAGCTCCAAGACAGCCCCTCCTCCTCCTCCTCCTCCTCCTCCTCCTCCTCCTCCTGCGTCAGCCCAACGGCCAGAGGCGTGCTAGGATTTCTGGTAACTCGTTTAGAAAGTTCTAATTGGCACGTGCGGGGCCGCCCCTGGGGATCCCCGGATCAAAAGTACCCCGGCTGATCCCCGGCGAACCTTTACTCGGAGATGCTTTTCCTCCTGGGTGCAGCCTCTCAGGCCCCCCAGAGAGCGCAGAGAGAGCCTCAAGAGGCCCCCAAGGTGGTCCAAGACGGCTCCGAGTCACCGAACGACCAGTCCAAGACCCCAAGATAGCCTCCAGACGGCCCAAGCTGCCTGCAAGACGCCCGAAGCATCCTCCAATTGACCTCCCCGGAGGGCCCCCAGAGGCACAAGTCAGTGATTTTCCACACGTGTTTGAAGGATTTTGGCGTTCTCGTCGTTTCGACTTACCGACGCTGCAAGACGGCCCAAGAGGCCGCCAAGATCGCCCCAACACGGCCCAAAAAGCTTCCAAGAGCGCCCCAAAACGGCCCCGGAAAGCTCCAAGACAGCCCCAGAGGCCTCCAAGATGGCCCAAGAGGCCCCCAAGACGGCTCACAAAGCAGGCCCAGACGGGGAACCCGAACGGACATTTCGAGCTGTAAGCCCCGAGAAATCCAAAGGAGGCCCCACGAGGCCCCCAAGATGCCCCCGAGAGGCCCCGAGAGACTTCCACGAGGCCCTCAAGAGGCCCCCGAGAGGCCCTCAAGAAGCCCCAAGAGGTCCCAGAATATCGCCAAGAGGCCCCCGAAAGGCCTCCCAAGAGACCTCAAGACGTCTGATAGCAATGAAGCTTGAATGCGGTACGCGTCCTTTGGCCTTGCCGCATGCTCCCCGGCCTTTGGCTGGAGCGAGCTGGGTCAGCCCGCTTAGAAGCCGCCGTGGCAGTGCAGTACCGCCGCCAAGCGCCGTGCCTGAGCCTCAGCCCGAGGACCCCCCCCACCCCGGAGTCAGAGGGGGCGCCGACCTGGCCGCCGCCGTGGCCGCCGCCGAAGGGGGGGGGGGGATGGGGGTGGGCGGAGGGGATGAGGAGGGAGGGGAGGAGGGAAGCGGAGGGAAGAGGAACGAGGGAGGAGGGAGGAGGGAGGAGTGGAGGGGAAGGAGGGATGCCCCGGCCCCGCGGAGGCCCTGGCGCGGAGGCCCCCCGGGGCCCAGGACATGCGATGCCCTGATTGGCTCCATGCGGGGTCCCTGGAAGTCCCGACCCTTTCCCAGGGGCCGGCTTGTCGCTCCGAGCTGTTGCTTGGCGGTCCCAGGGCCAGGCGAGGGCCCCCAGAGAACGAAAAGGGCAAAGTACCCCCCCAAAAAAACAAATACATATATATATATATATATATATAGATATATACATGCATATACATATACATATACATAGATTGACGACGCGAGGGCCTGGGTTCGTGGGTCAGCGATCGACCACCAGACCTCTCCTGGCGAGCGCCCTGCTCAGAGCTTGGAAGCGAGCCCCCAGCCGTGGCGACGAGAAGACCCCCCCGGAGGCCCAGAGCGCCTCGACCCCTCGAATCGCGGAGCTCTCAAATTTCACGGCGCGAGGGCTCCCTCCTCCTCCTCCTCCTCCTCCTCCTCCTCCTCCTCCTCCTCCTCCTCCTCCTCCTCTTCCTCCTCCTCCTCCTCCTCCTCCCCTCCTCCTCTCCCTCCTCCTCCTCCTCCTCCACCTCCTCTCCCTCCTCCTCCTCCTCCTCCTCCTCCTCCTCCTCCTCCTCCTCCTCCTCCTCCTCCTCCTCCTCCTCCGCCCACGGACAGCCGCAGAGATGCCCCGGGGTCCTGGCTCCGCCCGCGGCGCGTCCCAGGGGATCTTCCAGCCCGTGCGCGGCGGCGTCTGGCCCGTGCTGGGCGCGCGGGCCCACACCTGGCGCCAGCCCAGGGGAGAAGGAGCAGCACTCCTCCTCCTCCTCCTCCTCCTCCTCCTCCTCCTCCTCCTCCACGAGGGGAAGGCCGCACGCTGAGCATCGTCAGCGTCGTAATCAGCATCGTCAGCATCATCATCATCATCATCATCATCATCATCATCATCATCATCATCATCATCATCATCATCATCATCATCATCATCATCATCATCGTCATCATCATCATCATCATCATCATCATCATCATCATCATCATCAGCATCATCATCATCATCATCATCAGCGTCATCAACATCATCAGCATCATCAGCACCATCAGCGTCATCATCATATCATCATCATCATCATCATCATCATCATCATCATCATCATCATCATCATCATCATCATCATCATCATCATCATCATCATCATCATCATCATCTTTATCATCAGCAGCATAATCAGCATCATCATCATCAGCATCATCATCAACAGCAGCATCATCATCATCAGCATCATCATCATTATCATCATCATCATCCTCACATACATCATCAGCAGCAGCAGCATCGATAAAACCCCATCAACAAGAACCGAAGCAGTAGCAGCATCGTCATCCTCATCAGCAGCAGCATCAGCCTCATCGTCGTCGTCAGCAGCATCATCATCAGCAGCAGCAGCGTCATCGACTTCATCGTCGTCATCATCATCATCATCAGCAGCAGCATCAGCATCACCATCGTCATCGACATCGTCGACATCAGCATCATCATCATGATCATCAGCATCAGTGTCATCATCATCAGCATCAGCATCATCATCAGCACACCCACCAGCAGCAGCATCATCAACGTCGTCATCATCAGTACCATCATCATCATCATCATCATCATCATCATCATCATCATCATCAGCGTCACCACCACTGTCATCACCATCATCATCAGCTCCTCATCATCAGTCTTATCATCACCATCATCACCAGCATCGTCATCATCACCAGCAGCATCAGCAGCATCATCCTCCTCATCATCATCCTCATCATCATCATCAGCAGCAGCAGCATCATCATCAACTTCGTCATCATCAGCATCACCATCATCAGCATCACCACCAGCAGCAGCGGCAGCAGCAGCATTATCTGAGGAGGGGGGAGGTGCCCGAGTGAAGGAGGCCCCATATGACCTGTGGCGGGTGGGCGCTTCCGACGGCAAGCTAGGACCACGGGGATATGTGTGCGGCTTCCTGCTGCTCCTGCTACCCAACGCGGAGAGGATCGAACTGCGAGAATCAACGTCCGCCTCAACTTGTCCAGCGCAATGCTTACGGGAGAAGAAGGGACAAGAGGCCCAGAGAACTCGCAAGTCACCACAAGCAGGCCTCCTCGGTGGCAGGGCGGCCCCGCAAACACAGCGGGCGCGAGAGGGGCGCGGACGTGTGATGCTGAGTAAGCAATGCCATGCGAACATGCATGCATGGGCTGAGCAAGGGAGGCGCACGCGTGGGATGGCAGAGTGCTGGTGGGGCGCCTGGCTCCTGCCAGGGGGGCGAGGCTGCAGGCAAGTATTCGGCGACTCGTATCACACCCTGACCCCTGCCAGACCCCTTTCCGTGAGCGAACATCCACAAGAGCCACGGGGGGGGTGCAAAAGGGGGCGCAGGATGCGCCTCTCGGGCCGGGCGAAAGGGGGGGATAGCGAAGGGGGGGTTTGAGAATCAGCTCACGTAGCTAATTTTCCCGGCGCCTCCCAGCGCCGGGAGGCGCCCATGTATCGAGGAATGGGCCCCTCGGTGGGGCCGAAACCAGAAGCACGCAGCAGATTTCGTAACCCCCCCATTTCCCAATCCCCCCCTTTCGTCCGGCCCGAGCCTCGATCGAACAGCACCCCGAAAGGGAGGTCCAGAGGTGATAGAAAGAGGAGCGCGAACTTTGTTTGCAAGGAACGCGCAACTCACCACCCGCAGCATCCGAACACTAGACAGTCCGCGTGCATTACCACTCTTCTCATGGTCGGCGCCGCGCGGTTGCAGCCTGCCTAAGCTTTCCCTGAAACGCTCCCATCTCGCATGCGGTATCATGATGTCAAGCTCGAGTAACCAAGGCGCGGCGCAGAAAAACAAAAAAAACAGCGCAGCGCACACAACATTAAGGACACGCAACTATTACAACAACAGCAGCAACAGCAGCAACAACAGCAACAGCAACTCACATCAGCAACAACAGCAGTAGCAACCAGTTTAATGCAGCTCGCTCGGATCTGCCCGAGTGTCATTAAACGTGTATTTCCCGAACCCTCGATACCCGCCCTCTTCGTCTTCGATCGTACCCCTTTTTGGGGGGTATATATTTCTTCCCTGCAGGCCGACCCCGGCAAGCGGCGGGGCAGCGCTGATCGGCGGCAAACCGACCCCAAAGGGGACCAACCACGACGACGATGATGACGACGACGACGAGCGGAAACGAGAGCGAGAGCGAGAGCGAGGCCACGAAAGGCAAGAAGGGGGCCACGAAGGGCG